GGGCGGAGACCCCGCCGGAGACACCCCGCGGCCCCACCGCCCCTGTCCTCCGCGGCGAGAAAAGCTGACTTGGCGCTGTGGGGACCAACCTGGCAGCACCCCAGCTGCTCTACCCCAGGTGTCCCCAAGTCAGCTGCTGCTGAAACTGATCAGCGGCTGATTCCAGGAAGCCCGGGGCAAAGCAGCTCTGCCTCAGGCTTCCTGTAGTCAGCCGCAGGTCAGTTTCAACAGCAGCTGAATCGGGGACACCTGGGGTACAATATGTACCAGTTCCGACTTACATACAAATTCAACTTAAGAACAAACCTACAGTCCCTATCTCGTACATAACCCGGGGACTGCCTGTAAGGAAAAAAAATCACAGGTACAGCCATAGAACTGTCAATCAATTATATAGTTTTTGGCAGTAGTCTGAAGAGCAGGATGTATCCCAAATATGGGCATAATAGGTATTTTACAATATGTACCAGTTCCGACTTACATACAAATTCAACTTAAGAACAAACCTACAGTCCCTATCTCGTACATAACCCGGGGACTGCCTGTAAGGAAAAAAAATCACAGGTACAGCCATAGAACTGTCAATCAATTATATAGTTTTTGGCAGTAGTCTGAAGAGCAGGATGTATCCCAAATATGGGCATAATAGGTATTTATTGCAATAAGTAATTGGTAGATAATACTAGAATGCCCAACTCAAGTATAAATACAGGTGTAGAAAAGATAATCAGTGGGAGGAGGCAGGTTTGCCCCACAGGTCCTGCTCATAAGAACGGCCGTACTGGGTCAGACCAAAGGTCCATCTAGCCCAGTATCCTGTCTACCGACAGTGGCCAGCACCAGGTACCCCAGAGAGGGTGGACCGAAGACAATGATCAAGCCATTTGTCTCCTGCCATCCCTCTCCAGCCTCTGACAAACAGAGGCCAGGGACACCAATTTATCCCCTGGCTAATAGCCTTTTATGGACCTAACCTCCATGAATTTATCCAGCTTCTCTTTAAACTCTATTATAGTCCTAGCCTTCACCGCCTCCTCTGGCAAGGAGTTCCACAGGTTGACAACACGCTGTGTGAAGAAGAACTTCCTTTTATTAGTTTTAAACCTGCTACCCATTAATTTCATTTGGTGTCCTCTAGTTCTTCTATTATGGGAACTAATAAATAACTTTTCTTTATCAGCCCTCTCCACACCACTCATGATTTTATAGACCTCTATCATATCCCCCCTCAGTCTCCTCTTTTCTAAACTGAAAAGTCCCAGTCTCTTTAGCCTCTCTTCATATAGGACCCGTTCCAAACCCCTAATCATTTTAGTTGCCCTTTTCTGAACCCTTTCCAAGGCCAAAATATCTTTTTTGAGGTGAGGAGACCACATCTGTATACAGTATTCAAGATGTGGGCGTACCATAGTTTTATACAGGGGCAGTAAGATGTTCTGGGTCTTATTTTCTATCCCTTTCGTAATAATTCCTAGCATCCTATTTGCCTTTTTGACTGCCGCTGCACACTGTGTGGAAGTTTTCGGAGAACTGTCCACGATAACTCCAAGATCTCTTTCCTGATTTGTCGTAGCCAAATTAGCCCCCATCATACTGTACGTATAGTTGGGGTTATTTTTCCCGATGTGCATTACTTTACACTTATCCACATTAAATTTCATTTGCCATTTTGTTGCCCAATCACTCAGTTTGGTGAGATCTTCTTGGAGTCCCTCACAGTCTGCTTCTGTCTTGACTATCCTAAACAGTTTGGTATCATCTGCAAACTTTACCACCTCACTGCTTACCCCTTTCTCCAGATCATTTATGCTCTGGGGGTGTGTGCTCATTGTCACTAGAAGTAATGGGCCCCTTCACACCGGCTGCAGCAAGGCTTGGTGTCCCAACACATGGGAATCGAAGGGACCACGACCTCCCGCCTGGTACTATAGGTAGCATACAGGTGAAGTGCAGGTGAATTAGGCTTAATTACTGTATTATAATAATCTTCTATTAATTGCTTTTGCGTTACTTTGTGCTGTATTAATTGCTTTACATTTTAAACCTTAAATATTTTAAACTGTAGTAAATGTTTTTAAGGCTTGTAAAACTTAAAAATATGTTTACTGCTTAAAGCTTGTAATAAATAAATAAGTGGTTAAGTCTCTCTGAAGTGTCTTGGTTTTCCTTGGATCTAAAAATGGAACCACACGACAGATTTGTCTCCTGCTTTCATGAAGACATTTTCTACGTATCTAGTGTCACTCTCTTCTTCATGCTACCATTTCCTGAACAAACTTTACTCAGACCTAAAACTGCAGTAGTCAGCAACTCTGTGGCTACCATAGGCAGGAAACTTACCCCACAATGAGGCAGGCACCTCATAGCTGAGTTATCACTCTAGAGTTATGAGTATTTTGGAGCCTAACCTTACTTCCAGGGCCATAGAAATCTAGCATCTCCTCCCCTGAGATATTGAATGCAGCTTATCCAGCGAGACAAGTGGACAGGCTAGCTTACCGCTCCACTTCCTGAGTGACTGGCACCAGCTTCTTCCATCTTGCTACTAAGTTCTTGGCAAAGTCTCCCACCAGCTCGTGTTTCCGTAAGCCATTCACAGTCTTCCCAACACCAGTCTCCTGCAAGGAAGATACAAGACCTCAGCTGCTCTCTGCAAACCAGCCAACATTCTCAGCTTTAATTGTCTAAACAGGTTTGTCCAAGTCAGACTACCAGATCCGCTTGGTTACCCAGAGCCCTCTTCAAGTTAACACAGCCTCAAGAAAACTAGACTAAATTTAACTGTTTCAATGCTACCTAATGTACCAGATATATAGGCAAAATGTCCTATTGTACCACCAGCTTCCAATTTGCCATCAGAAAATGGACGGCTATAGCAAGAGTTTATACCAGGCCATGTTAGAGTTGCTATGACATTCTTTTTACTAAAAGGGTTTAAATAAAAAGATTTGGAATGCCACCAAGCTCTGACGATAGCTTTGGGAGGGGAACAGCAACAAACAAACGTGAACTCAAATATTCTGTTTGCAAGCAAATTCCCTCCAGAATACAAGATAAGCAGAAAGGTTTCACTTAAATTTTTTCCAGAAGGTTTCAGTGTGCAAGAACATAACACACAACTCTCAGCCATTCCAAGAATGCTGATGAGAGATCATGGCCCAACAGAGAAATGGGCAATCCAATGGAGTGCTTAGAGTAGGAGCTGTACCAGACCTGCATTCAGTATTTTAGTATGGAGAAAGATTTGCATACAGCTGGTGGTGGTGAGTCAGGAATATTCCAGCACAGCGCTAGGAGGCCCTCTGTCAGATATGCCACAGGAAAAAGGACCATGACCACTTTTAGATATGGATTTTTATGTATGGATTTTAAGGTCTTGAGGCCATTACCAGTCTAGTGCAGGGGTCAGTGCCCTTTTCAAACCAAAGAGCCAAACTACATCAACATTCAGAACATGTGCTCAACTAAGAGCTATATAATACATGAGTCAGGGCAGGGGTTTGGGTGTGGTGGGTGGGCTCAGGGCAGAGGGTGTGGGGGTGTGTGTGCCAGAGTTGGGGCAGGGAGTGGGGTTGTAGGAGTGAGAGGAGGGGGCTGGGAGGTGTGGGGTGCAGGGTAGGGGGAGGGAATGTGGTGGGGCTTAGTGAAGAGTGGGTGTAAGAATCAGGGCAGGGGGTGGAAGGTTAAGGGCAGGGGGCTAGGAGGACCTACCAGGGCTGTCTGTGGCAGTGAAGATGGGGCTACTCAGGGGGCAGGGCGCGCTCTGAGGGAGGGCTGGTTGGCAATTTCCCCACCCCACTCCCCGCTTCTCCTCAGAGGAGCAGTGGTTTCTGACCCTCCTCCAGTGTGTCCTGGGAGTGGGGGCGTGCTGGGCTGTGGTTCCTGGTTGATCCTCCCATCCCCCAGGTTTTCTGGGATTGGGAGTAGGGATGTTAAGGACTAGTCAAGCTGCTCTGAAATGCCACACAGGAAGCACAGAGAAGTGCAGCATGGAGCCTGGGGCCAGCATGGGACTCTGAGTCCCCTGCTGACTCCATGCAGGTGCTTCTGCTTTGAAATGCGCAGGAGCCCCCTGGGGATCTTGTACATTTCAAAGCGGAAGTGCCCGTGTGGAGCCCGGAGTCAGTGGGACTTCCTGCTGGCCCTGGGCTCCACACAGTATTCCAACTTTGAAATGAAAAAGAGCCCCCGCTGGGGATCTTGTACATTTCAAAGGCAGAATGTAGAAGTGCCTATCGACTAGTCGATGGAAATTCTGTCAACTACTCAACTAGTAAATTATTCGCTAGTTAAAATCCCTAATTGGGAGGGGCTGCTGCACCCAACCCAGCATTTCTTGGAGGTGGGGAGGCTGCCAGGCCATACTTCACAGCTCCCTAAGTTGTCCTGGGGTGGGAGGGCTGCCATGCTGCGATCTGCAGCCCCTGCTATGTCCTGGGGGGCAGGGTTTATGCCCCTCCCCCCCACACACTTTCTGGGGAAGAGTTGAAGCTGGGGCCAGGGCTGTATGATGGGCAGCTGCCAGAACTGGAGCTGGGACATGTGGCAGTTGCTCCGGGGTCTGGGGCTGAGGTGTACCTGGCCCCAGCTCCCAGAGCAGCCAAACCACAGCCTGGACTCCAGCTCTGACAGTCATCACACGGCCCGGCTTCAGGTCCAGCAGCTGCCCCCAACACAGTCTGCCCCGGGAACCAGCCCTGTGGTGGCTGCCATAGCTGGATCCCGGGCTGCGTTGTGGCTGCTCCCAGGGAGGGATGCATGGTGGACAGCTGCTGGACCTAAAGCTGGGCTGCATGACGGCTGCCAAAGCTGGAGCCCAGATTGTGGTGTGGGGTGACAGGGGCTGGGGTGTATCACAGCCCTGACCCAGCAGCCACACAGCCCAGCTTCAGCTCCAGCAGCTGCCCTCCACACAGCATACCCTGGAAACAGCTGCACCTCTGTCTGGGCTGCAGCTGCTAAATGAGCCACATTTGGTTCACGAGCCATAGGTTGCTAACCCCTGCTTTAGTGTAACCTTCTTGTACAACTGGCCACAGAAACCACCCCAGGATTCCAGTATCAAGGCTAGTAACTTGTGGCTGAACTATATTATCTGTTTTAGAAAGAAATCCAATCATGATCTAAGTGATGAAGTGTTTATTACATCCCTTAGTAATCTATTGCGATGTTTGATCACTTTTTAAAACGTACAGCTCATTTCCAATTTAATGTGATTACAGCTTCATGGGATTTCCCATAAGAACTGAGTGTTAGCCCCAATATCCTGGTCCAATTTCAATGTAGGGAGACATTTTGTTATTCTGTTCGAGGAAAGATACCATAAAATACAAGATTGTTTTAGTTCTTACCACAAGGATGTCAACTGTGATAGGCAACTCAGAAAGTCTCTTCAGGCTTTTCAGCAGCTGCATAGAAAACAAGCAAAGTGTTTAGACTTGTTATGCTAATGACATACAGTACTGAGATTAGAAAGGAAGAAAATGTTGCATGGTATGAGGGGGAAATATCTGAGCAGCAAACCTCTCAACTCATCACCACAGTTATCTGACGCCAGATCAAGCTACTAATAAGGTGAGCACGTGGAGGACTGATTTGCAAAGAAATATAACATTCTGCTGCAGAAAGAGAGGGGAAGTGTGCAAGGTAACAGCACTGTGGCTGCATCAGAGTAACAATTTGGTGTAATTTCAGAATCTCAAAGTGCATTGTAAAGATTAGCCCTCAACACTTCTGTGAAAAAATTATCTCCATTTTAGACTAAGGATGTTAAATTGCAGGTAATTGTCTAATCAAACAATCGATGCATTTTGCATCGACTATTCAACTAGCTGATAGAGCATCTCTGCCTCTGAAATGTAGCAACAGCCCTAGGGCTGTTACTACATTTTAAAGGCGAAAGCACCACGTGGAGCCCGGGGTCAGCTGGGGACTCCCCACTGACTCCAGGCTCTGTTCAGTGCTGTCACTTTGAAATGCTGCAGGAGCCCTGCCTTAAGGCTCCTCCCAGTGTTTCAAAGCAGCAGCGCCGCGTGGAGCCCGGGGCCAATGGGGAGTCCCGGGCTCCATGCAGCACTGCCTCTTTGAAACGCCGCCGTAGGTGCCCAGGGTCTGGACCTGGGATCTATGCGGCAATGCCGCTTTGAAGTACCCCATTCTCCCCTCCCCATTGTTGCCTCTGATAGATGCAGTGGGGGGGGGGGCAACTAGTCAACAAGCTTGTCAACTATCCGATAAACATTTGCTTATTGGATAGTTAACTAGTTCTTCACATCCCTATTTTAGACACGGGGAAAAGATACACAGCAGGTTTGTGAAAGGGCCTGAGATAAAACTCTGGGCCTGTGTTTTCAAATTGTTTGTGCCTACTTTAGGATCTTTTAAAGGGTACTCTCTAAAAATCATGGTCGAACACCCATCCTCTGAGAATCAGTCCCCTTTCAAAAGTCTCAGTGTTCAGCATCTAAAATTGAGGCACTATCATGGTTGAAAGTAGGGATGTAAAATTCAATTTAATTAGTTAACTGGTTAAACTCAGCTTGCTCCTGAGTCCTCCCTCTTGCCCAGACCCTCCACCCCCGACCCTGGCTCCTGCACCCTCCCACCTCCCCCATCTCCACACCCACACCCTCCTTCCCCCACCAGACTCCACAGCTACACCCTCAGGCCTCTCCCTGGCACGCCCTGCCCGCCCACTCAGACCCAGCACTCTCACCCCCAGCTCTCTCCCATGCACTGAACTAGGGATGTAAAAATCTCATTTAATTGGTTAACTAGTTAAACCACGCCTAGGCAAAAATCCAGCCTGCCACACCACCGGATCTGATCCACAGATGTTGCAGGGAGCCCTAGGCAGGCTTCCTGCTCGCCTCGCTGCACCCACACCCAACTCAGAAAAGCACCTTCCAGGCCTTTTCTCTTTAAAAAACTGTGAGCCAGAAGGGATTGGGGAAGGCTTCAGGTGCTGCCCCTGCCCCCAGCACGATCCCATTGGCCGGTCTGAATAACAGGCAGCACACGAAGCACCCTCCTCCCCCGGAGATGGCCTTGCAGCCTGTGTGAGGGCAGGGCAGGCTCTCTGCCTCCCTGAGAAACACGCTGGGCTGCTGGCCAGGAGTCACTCAGGTAAGTCTCCTGGCCAGAGCCTGACTCTAGCACCCAAGACCAACCCTCTGCTCTCCACTCCTGCCCCTGTACTCCACATACCCAAATCCTCTGTCCTTTCCTGCATCCATATAGGCAAGAGCTCTCAATGGTCAGAATCCACCCACAGCCCTTTGTTTGTCCACGCAGCCACTTCTCCGAATTAAACTTACTGTAAATCATCTAATGAGTAGTTGGCCAGTCCAGTGCCCCAGGTCACAGCCATCTTCTTCATCCAAATGCCCACCCAGACCCCCCTCTCCCTCCTGCACCCCATTCCCTTACTCCAAGCTCCCTTCTGCACCCAACTTCCATCCCAGGCCTCGCACCTCTTCTATTAATATCATGGAAGAGTGTGGCCCTCAACTACTTTCCAAAAGTCTTGAAGTGGCTCCCCATCAAAATGATTGTCCGCCCCGAGTTAAACATACCGTTTAACTGGTGAACCAATTAAGGGAGGGGCAAGCGGGAAGCAGTTCCCCCAACACAAGCAGTGACTGCTCTTACCTGCCTGCGGGGCCCACCACAGACACAGGTTGCTTCAGACACTGCAGCAATCCCTGTCCATGGCAGGCCCTGCATGACTGGAGCAGCTCCCAGCACACAGAGTTGCTCCAACCCCCACCGGTTAACCGGAACTGGTAAGAATCACATTTTAAGGGTGATGTTTACTGGTTTACCTTTCGCATCTCCACAATGAACCCTCATTTTTGGCCCCCCTGGAGATCTAAGGGGGTCCCACAAAATCTAGTCTGGTGGAGCTTGAGGGTAGTGAGGTGCAAGGATTTTTTTTTGCCTCTCCTCACTTGGGAGCCAGGTTAATGAGGGTGGGTTTGTTTGTTTTGCTTCTTACTTGTATCTAGCTCCCCCAACTGACTTTTCTGTGGGTCAGTGACCCAAAAAAAGGTTCCCAACCCCCCTTTAAGATCTATAGAGAGGACTTCTGCTGAGAAGCAAAATGGCAGTATCAATGAAGACACTAATCTTAGTTAAGGAATCACAGAAAATTGTAGATGGGGAGATATTGGAACCAGTCAGACAATTGCTTAGATATTTAGGATTATTCCTCATTGTTCATTTCCTAGGTATGTCCCATCTAATTTCAAATGTCTCAGACAACGGAACGGCCACCACTTCCTTGGGGAGACTATCCAGAAGAACGGCCAAAGGTCCGTCTAGCCCAGTACTCTGTCTTCTGACAGTGGCCAATGCCCGATGCTCCAGAGGGAGTGAACAGATCAGGGAATCAAACGATCCCTCTCCTGTCATCCATTGCCAGCCTCTGACAAACAGAGGATAGGGCAGGTGTAGGCAAACGGGCCTCCATGGGCTGGACCCAGCCTACCAAGAGGTTCTGCCACTCCCCCGCCCCCATGCCAACCAGGGCCTAGGGATGGGGGAGCACGCCAAACTCCAAGCGCCAGAGGGCAGGGAGCAAGGGTCTTCACACTCCCCTCATCCCCAAACCAATCAGGGGAAGCTAGCAAAGTGTCCTCCCACCCTGCACCTTCCCTAAAGAAACGAGGGGTGACGGGGGCAGGGAGGGAGGAGATTGCTCATTTCTCCTCGCTCCCAAGCTCTGATAGGACATGGGGCAGAAGGAGCATGCGAAGTCTCCTCCCATCCTCCAAGGGGCTTGGCATTCAGAGTCAACCGCCAGCTGCTGCTCAGCTGGCGGGTGACTCCAAGTGTGACGCTTCTTTGCAGAGCGGGGGCAGACTTTGCATGCTCTCCCCACCCCCAGGCCCTGATTGACCTTGGGGTGGGTGAGAAGGGGAAGTGAACAAAGTCTCCTCCCACCACCATGGGCATGGGTACCTAGAGGGAACCGCTAGCTATTGAAAACAGCTGGCAGTTCGGAGGGGAGCGGCAAATACTTCACATGCTACCCCACCCACAGACCAATCAGGATCTGTGGGCAGGGAAGCACGCAAGTGTTGTGGCCCCCAGTCAAAAATTACTGCCCGCCCCTGGGCTAGGGACACCATTCCTATCCATCCTGGTGAATAGCCATTGATGGACCTAACCTCCATGAATTTATCTTGTTCTTTTTTGATCCCTGTTAAAGTCCTGGTCTTCACAACCTCCTCTGGCAAAGAGTTGCACAGTTGACTGTGCATTGCGTGAAGAAAAACTTCCTTTTGCTTATTTTAAACCTGCAACCTATTAGTTTCATTTGGTGACCCCTAGTTCTCATGTTTTGGGAATGGGAAATAACTTTTCCTTTTTCACTTTTTCCACACCAGTCATGATTGTATAGACCTCTATCATATCCTCTCCCCCCTTAATCTCTTCTTTTCTAAAATGAAAAGTCCCTGTCTTTTTAATCTCTCTTCATATGGAACCTGTTCCAAACCCCTAATAATTTTTGTTGCCCTTTTCTGAACCTTTTCCACTGCCAATGTGTCTTTTTTTCAGATGCCTAAAAGATCCCACTATTAAAATGTTCTCCTTTTGTATTTACTCTAAATTCTCTCACTAATTTAATCTCAGTTGGGGTTTAATTATACTTCCTTGTAGTACCCTCAGAAATTCCTCTCACTCCTTGATCATTTGTAGCTTTCAGGGCCCCGTCTTGATGAGCAAGATGTATGCATTTTTTCAATCAAGTTAATTTAACATGCTTGGAAAAAACTCAAATGTTAGGAGTTTAGGACTTTTCAACCATTCTAAACATGCACAAATAAAACAGTGTATCACAATGAAATCACATCTTGCCCATCAAGGCAATGCCTCGTTTTCATTTTACCAAGCTTTCAATGTTACATGCAGTTGTTGTTATCTGTAATTCAGGATTTCCCGCTGAGTTGTAAACTTTTAATGAACACTATCAGACATAAAATTTGGTTACCTCTGTCACTCACAAACACCACCTTAGGGTACTTCAACACTATGAAAACTGTACTGATATAGCCCAATTGCATAGACAAAGCTACACCAACAGAAGGGATTTATCTGTCGGTATACCAACACCACTTTCTTAACCCTGTTGACAGAAACCCCCTTTCATGACAAATGGGTGTTATTGTCAGCATAGTTATGAAGGTCAAAGTGTGCTTTTTTTCAAACCCTTACCAAAGTAGCTATGCCAATATAGCTTTTCAGTGAAGACCAGGCCTTCAGTTGCTGAAATGGTTCTCTGCAATACTCACTCATCATTACATATACACTATTTGATTATTTACTACCATACAAGAAGAATGAATCACAAAACGGTCTTGTGTCTTGACTGCAAGACCTCTGGAGCAGGGAGGTGTGATTTTACACAACTGTGTATTCAGACGTGATTTTACACAACTGTGGTCTTTAGGTACTACAGTAAAACTCCGATGGTCCAGCATATGATGGTCCGGCACTCCTGATGGTCTGGCACCATCAGGAACCCGGAAGTGCTCCGGGCAGCCAGACCATTGGAGCTGCTCTGGCCCCAGCTTCTCCGATTCAGCCACTGCTAAAACTGACCAGCGGCTGACTCAGGGAAGCCGGAGATAGAGCTGCTCTGCCCCAGGCTTCCTGGAATCAGCCCCTCATCAGTTTCAGCAGTGACTGACTTGGGTAAACCTGGGACAGAGCAGCTGGGGTGCTGCGGGGTTGGTCTCGCAGCGCCAAGGGTTGGCGCTACTAGACCAACCCAGCAGCGCCCCAGCTGCTCTGCCCCAGGCATCTGGATTCAGCCGCTGTTGAAACTGACCAGCGCCTGACTCCAGGAAGCCCGGAGCAGAGCAGCTCTGCCTTGGGCTTCCTGGAGTCAGCTGCTGATCAGTATCAGCAGTGGCTGGGGTGGGGGGGATTC